TTTCTCAATCATTAGCAATAGTAGCAAGTATTATCCCTTGTCATAATGCTATAAACCCAAGTTCTTAATTGCACCATTAATGGTGTCATTTTTTTTCTCTTTTATTAAAATTTTAATTTAAATTTCATGGAGATTTCATCCCAAGGCATTTTTTAATATATAAATTAAAGAATTAATTATTTGATAATATAAAAATTTAGACGTTTAACTTTTACTTTAAATCAAAAGTTTTAATTTAATAAATATTAATTCGATCAAATTTTTATTAATATTTCAATACAGTTAACATTTTACACTATATAATAATTCATTCACAAAAAAAAATATATATTTTATATATAAAAGAAAAAAAAAGCCAAATGTATGGACTACTTAATATTTGAAGATCAAATCTTAATACATTTTACTTTTAAAAACATTATAATAGTTTTTATAATAATTTTTTTATACATTTAGTTATGAGCTATATACATTTAAAAAAAAAAAGAAGATGGTTGTCGATTTTTCTCAAGTGCCAGTTACAAAGTCAAGCTCAAGCATGAAATTTTTAAACTAAAATTGTATGTTTTTAATTAGATAAGTCCCCCTTTAACAAGTCATTGTTTATATGAAGCAAGTTATAAGTTATTTTATCTCAAAATATCATCATGGCAATAATGAGATGATATTACTTTACTTTTTTGAATAGCTGTGTGAGGTAAAACAAAATTGAAAATAAAGATTTGAAATTATGCAATTGTGGGCTTTTAATTATTTCTTACTAGGTAAATCGGATAAGTATTTTATTCATATTAAATTTTCATAGATATAAAATTTAGCATGTACCTTGCAAATGGTTAATACTCTTTTTATTATTATATCCAAAATAATAATACAACAATAATAATATCAAAAATGTTCAAAAAAATAATATCTAAAAAAATCTTAAAATATTTATAAATAAATGTTTTTTTATATCAAATTTGTAAATAAAGGTTACTAAAAAAGGCATTGTCCTCAACCTGTTCAAAAAAAGAAAAAAAGGCATTGTCCAAATAAATATACAGAGAATGTCTTTGTAATTTAATTATCACTTGATTATTGTAAAAGGATTTTTCATACTTAATTTAATTTGAAAGTACAAGTTTCAATTCTTACCTGAAAATAAAAATTGATAATAATTAAATATACAAAATATTATTAAAAATAAATTTGTAAATAAAAATAATTAATATTAAATTATAAATTTATAATATTATAATTATAACATTTTTAATTAAATTTAGTAATAAATGTAAAAAAAAAACGTAGAAAATAGAGAAGGAAACAGATTTTCACTAAAAGGGAGAAAAATCGATAATCTCAAAAAACAAAAAATTTAGTTTTTTTTTTTTTTTTTAGCCCCAGACGCACGCACACAGAGAAAGAAAGAAAGAAAAAGAGAGGGTTTTCGGTGTAAGAGACAGAGAGAGAACTCATCGGTTGGGATAAATCCTCTTCCTCTTGTTTATTGCAACGGCGAAGCGCGGCAGACTGTCGGAGAGTGTCGGAGTCGGTTCTTCTCAGATCTGAGAGAGAGAGCAGGGCGAGCCAGCAAGCCAGAGAGGATGAGTGGGAAGGGCGGAGGGGGTAATAATGGCATAGGGAAGGGGAGTGGTGGAATTTCGGGGATTCCGTCGGGGTCGAAGAAGATGGTGCAGAGCTTGAAGGAGATTGTGAACAACTATTCCGAGCAGGAGATCTATGCTACTCTTAAAGAGTGTAACATGGACCCTAACGAGACCGTCAATCGCCTCCTTGCCCAAGGTCCCTTCCTTTTTTCAATTCGTTCTGAAAGCTTTTATTTTTTCTTGGTTTTTTTCAACTGCTACTGCTAGGGTTTGCTGGAGTGGAGAGAAATCTGTTCGCTTCAAACACTTGAGTTCCCTTTTTTATTTCAATCATGTATTAGTAGTAGCAAATAGTGTTACGTTTCCCTGTTCTGGCTTGATTATGAATACTCTTGCTGTTTCTTTTATTTCTTTATGGATCTTCTTATGGTTGTTCATTGGAACTGCTGTTCTTTGAAGTCGACTCTATCCCTTTATACCCAACACTCAGCATTCCTTGGAAGTTGGAAGTGTAGCAATTGACTCTTTTTTTTTTTTAACAAAAAAATGAATTTCAGATTGTTAACATTGAAATTGCAGAAAAAGTGTTCCCAAGGAGCTTGTTAAACAGCATAGTTAGAAATCTGTTTTCCTTGTGGGCTGCTGCTTCTTTCTTTTCGGTTTTCCTTCTGCAGTAAAACCTCAGTGGTTGCATGTTTGGCAAATATATTGTCTTTGAAAGTGCATTGCAGTTATTATTTCCTTAATTATGGACAAATTTCTTAGTGCTTGTTAATATTACTTCTCTCTCTTCTTTTTTTTTTTTTTTTTACATTGAAGAATTCTTTTTGCTACTTGTACTTGAGCTTTGATTACTGTTAACACATGATCTTGCCATCTGTTTGCTCCATTTTGTCCTATTTCCTGGTATTATGTATTATTATCATGTTTTATGGAGTAAGGCTGAGGAGGTTTCAGTCTTGTATTTTTAATTCCTTGTTTGTGTTCTGATACGAAGTTTTTTAACTGTGTAGATCCTTTTCATGAGGTGAAGAGCAAGAAAGAAAAGAAAAAAGAGGTTTGTGCTAGAGGAAATTCAGCTTAACTTATGGCTGGCTACCTTTTTGAATGTCAAAATTCACATTAACAATTATTTCACATTAAAGTTGTAGGCTAGTTGACCTGCTCACTTATTTCATGCTAACTTTCTCCTCTTTTGCCTGTTAAAAGGCTTCTTCTTGTCATTCCATCTGATTCGTTTTTTATTGCTGCAGAATAAGGATACAGGGGATTACAAGTCTCGTGGTGCAAATAACATTAGTTACACTACAAACCGTGGCAGTAGGGGTGGTGCAGAAAGACGTGGAGGCTCAACACATTATGGTATTAATGGTATAAACATGCTTTTATGTAATTTTGTCCAAGATTTGAGTATTTGGCAAGTTGAAAATTGACTTGGGTTGGGAGATATTTTCTTCACATATTGATGTTCTTATTCTTTTTCCTTCTAATCAGAATCTGGCCATTCACATGGAAAAGCTGCATACAAGAGGGAAAATGGTGTACATGCATATGCAGGGACTTCCTCTACTACATCTGGTGTGGTAGGAAATAACTTAAATCGGCGACCTTCATCTTATAGGTATTTTCTGTGAAAACCTCAAACTGTATGTCTCCAATAATTTATGCTCTACTGGATAGTGAAATTTGACTACATATCTCTTGTCAGTTTTGCATTAATGGATAATGATGTTTGTGCAACACATTTAGGGTATTTAATTTATTGTCCTGCATTGGGCAACCAATGGGACTTTGATGGTTCTGTGACTGCAACTTGGAAATTGGAAGTTACAATTTAGATACGTAGAGATGTGGACTTTGGATGAGACTTTATTAATACATATGTAACTTCTATAAATGTGTCTAATTTTTTATGTACATCTAATTTTGTTGCTATCTGTCCTGGAGTACATGAAATTGTTGTTGTGTTTGATGAATATTCTCTGTGATGTATAATATATGCGCCTCAATGCTTAACTGTTGTTGTGATGTGCGTCACTCATCTCTCATGTACATTTCATATCTCTTTGCAGTGAATCTGTTGTTGCTGAGAATAAGGCGCCCACTGTTAGTCTTGGTGATGGGATTTCTTCATCTTTACAGCCTTCTTCTGGATATCAATCTGCATGGGTGGGAGTCCCAGGTCAAATATCAATGGCTGACATTGTGAAGATGGGTAGGCCACAGAACAAGGTTCCTACCATGCCAAACCCATCTCATCAGAGTGTTAATGAACATTGGAACAGAAATCATGCTTCTGAGGTTCCTGAAATGAACAATAGAACAGAAGTCATGACAAGCCAGGATATTTCACCCGAAGATGAATGGCCACCAATTGAGAATCCATCTGCTGCCAGTGTGTCCTCTATCTTAGATGCACCTGCAGATTCTGAGCTTTATGCAAATGCATCTAACTTGCCTTTGGATAGAACTAATGAGCATATGAACTCTCAGATAGAAGCCGAGGCAGTGGAAGATGGTTCGGTTGAGACTCATAACACAAACTATGTTGGTCCTCCTACTTCAAGTAGAAATATTCAAGATGACAATTCCGGTGGTTCATCTCTTTTTGATAATGACTTGTATAATGATGTGAACTCGTATAATGATGTGAAGTCCTACCAACCTCAGAAGCATGCATTTGAGCATAATGAAGGTTTGTATGAAGTTTAAATGATACTCTTGGAGTCTAGATCACAATTTAGCATTTTATTTTACCATTCCTGTATGATATCATATAACTGATACTTCATTTAAAGGAAATTGTTCAATTTGTCCTTGTGCTTGTTGCCCTCTTAAGGAATTTGTGGTTAATTACATTCTTCTGTTTTATGGGTATTGTATTTCAGCTGAAGAGGTCATTTCATCAGTTGCCTCAAACTTGCAGCAACTTAATTTACAGAACAGTGATCATGAGTCACCACCTGAAGAGGATAATCCTTCTGTAATAATTCCAAATCACCTGCAAGTCCACACTCAAGACTGCTCACATTTGAGCTTTGGAAGTTTTGGGTCTGGCATTGGTTCTGCCTTTTCTGGGCCATTTGCATCAAATCCCTTAAAGAATAGTTTGGATGAGACACCTGAAGCAGCCAATGCCTCTTCCATAGGGCACTCAGACAATAGGTATTTTCTTTTGATTGTAGTTTTTCTATTTTTTACCTGTTGGTTGCTCATAACTATTTGTAAAAATTATTTGCTTGCAGAAGTCCAGAGTATTATGGGGATGAACATCTAAGGAATGCCACAGAGGGAAATATTGCTAATAGTAATAATGCAAGTGCTGAGAACTATGAGGCTTCTTCAAATACGAGATCAGAGGTTTTGAAACAGGAAACCCCTGAAACTGCCGAAGGGAACCAATATGCATTTCCTTCATCTGCATCTGTTTATGGTTATGAAAATACACAGCAGTTAAATCCTACCTCCACTCACTTGCAGATGACTTCTCAGATGCAAAATCTAGGTCCGTTCTCCAATGTCATGGTAAGTGAATAATTGCATGGTTTTGTGTTTTATGTGTTGATTTCATCCTTGTAATCTAATGTCACAAACCATATGTATTTGGGTTGGTTGGAAAAATGTATTTTCAATCAAATTAGTAAAGTTTTACTTTTGAATCACATGAATTTGTTTTCTATCTTCAGTCTTAAATGTCCAAGTTTATTGGGGATTTAATTTCAAAGAAGTTTATCAAATTTTTTATGAAAAAATAGAAGGTTAAGGCAGCTGAAGCAAAAGTTTGAGAAAGATTAACCATGTTCTTGAAGATATCTTGTTAATTTTCTTCAAAATATTTCCTTATTTTGTTTGTTGTCATTGTAGCAATCATATACAAATTCATTGCCAAGCACTTTGCTAGCGTCAACTGTTCAATCTGCTAGGGAGCCTGATCTTCAGTACTCACCCTTCCCTGTGGCTCAGTCATCAGCGACAAAATTCACAAACACAGCTTCTTCCATCAGTGTACCAACCATTTCCATGCCAGAGGTGTGACTTTACTCAATGATTTTTTTATTGTTATTATAATGTTTCTTTGAAAGTGGGTTTACATGTTTCCATAGGTCCTATAAGAACTGTATTGAATTGTCTGGTCCCCCTAGGTGCTCTACTAGTTCCTGAGTTAATTGAAAACTAGTTATTTACTAATCTTTCTTTTCCAAATGCAGGCTTTAAGAGCTGGAACAATGTCAACACCCCAGCCAACTCAGCAGACGCTACCTGGTTCCAGTGTTGGCTCAGGACCGGCTGTTCCACCACACCTTACCATGCACCCCTATTCCCAACCTACACTTCCATTGGGACATTTTGCAAACATGATTGGTTATCCTTTCTTGCCACAGAATTATGCATATATGCCATCGGCTTTCCAGCAAGCATTTGCTGGTAATAGCTCATACCCTCAGTCTCTGGCAGCAGTGCTTCCCCAGTATAAAAATAGTGTCTCTGTTACCAGCTTGCCCCATCAATCTCCTGCAGTTGCACCTGGTTATGGGTTTGGGAGTTCAACAAATATTCCTGGAGGAAATTTTCCTCTAAATCCTCCAACTGCACCTGCAGGAACGACTGTTGGCTATGATGATGTTTTGATTTCTCAATACAAGGAGAATAACCATTTGATGTCACTTCAGCAGGCACAGGTAAATCCCTCATGCAAACTGTATAATTTGACCCCTTTTCGCGGAATTGTTACAGACGTAACAACAGTATTTATTCTGCCCCCAGCTTCCTGGAGCTTTTGACTTCATTCTAGATTTTTGAAAAAATTGAACCCCAGTGTTGTTTTTTCTTTTATGAACTCCAAAGTCTATTGTTTGCCTGCTATTTCTGAATCTTGAATCGAAAATGCAATTACTAAATCTTCTATTTCTGTTGTCAGAATGAGAACTCAGCTATGTGGGTTCATGGACCTGGCTCAAGGACAATGTCTGCTGTCCCGCAAAGCACATATTACAGCTTCCAGGGGCAGAACCAGCAGGCAGGTGGATTTCGGCAAGGTCAGCAGCCTCCTTCACAGCATTTTGGAGGCCTTGGATATCCAAATTTCTACCACTCACAAACAGGAGTATCATTGGACCCTCAGCAGCAAAATCCTAGGGATGGTTCCTTAAGTGGTTCACAGGTCCAACCATCAAAGCAGACCCAGCTATGGCAAAGCAATTACTAAATCTTGTCACCTCCTGGTTTTTCAGGGTACCGTAGTGAGTTTAAAAGGGATCAATCAAAAGGCATTCTTGAGATAATAATTAATCCAATGTATCCTAGTTAGAGGTCTGAAGGGACCTTCACTTGCTACTGCCCTGTGCCCCGAGGCTGTATTCTACTTATATTTATGTTCTGGTTTTGTTAACGTAAGAACGGAGGGTGCTAATTTGGGTTAGTGGAGAACATTTTCTTCTTTCCCCGTTTTCTTGTTTTCTTTAAAATCTGCTTCCACACTTGTCTCATTTCCTTCGAAGTTAGTTAAGTTTATTCAAAATTGTTCTCTTCTGGACCTTTATATTTAAAACTGCTTTAATGGAAGTCCTATTCATGCTTACAAGAATTAGTGGATCGTTCGTATCCAACTACAAGAAAGTAGCCTTAATGTTCTCAGCACACAGCATTGTACTTAATGTTGCCTCAAGTATTGGCACTCTACATATCAAAATCAAAGTCGCAACGTAGATAATGACTTTTTACCAGTAATCACCACAAGAGCATTTGCCATCCTTGAAATGATGGAACCGTTTGTTGTCTCGAACAATCAGTTCCCTTCCAACAATCTTGGACATGATCTTGATGGCATTGTGACAGTCACCGCAGACCCGGAGGTTCTTGATAATCCTAAGTGGTGTCCTTGCAGGTGTGCTAATCAAACCGTATGCAATTGCCAATCTTTCACTGTGATATAGCAAAGCCTGCTCTTTTGCCTCTTGGTCGATGTCATGAAGCACATACCTTGTGTCCGGCACATAACCTGCATCCTTCATCTGACTCAAGGCCTTCAACTTTTCATCATCCTTGTAAAGAGTTGGATTACGAAATTCACTGATTCTGTTCTTTCCATCAAGCATGCTGATTGCAGTATGCTTCTTTGGCGGTGGGGTAGGGATCTTATTTGAAAGAGCCTTTGATGGGTCGACATCAACCATCAACTCCTCTACATGGTCTTCAACGTCAACATCTCCATGAATATGAGCATAGTTCTTCAATGCCTCCAAAACTTCAGCAGTAGGCTCAAAAGGCAATTTGTCAATATATTCTATAGCTTCAACAAGATGCCCAGATTTTCCAAGAACTCCAAGAAGCCCCATGTAATGCTCAAACCCAGGAGATATCTTATACTCTTTCTCCATTGACTCAAAATGTATGAAACCTTCTTCCACAGCTTCGGCACTGGCGCAAGCATTGAAAACGGCAAGAAAAGCCTGCTCATTGGGCTTTAAACTCAATTTCCTCATCTGTCCAAACAACTGCAAACCATCATCTCCCAGTCCATTATCTGCGTACCCATTAATCATCAAATGCCAGGATTCCATATTCCTTTCAGGCATATGATCAAACACCCTACGCGCATCAGTCATGCTTGCACACTTGGAATACATTCCAATCACCTTATTATTCAACTTAAGATCACCCCTCCAAGATGACTGTAAAAAATAATCATGAACCTTTTTGGCATCTTCAAGTGACTTCGAATTCCCACACAACTCGAACAAAGCACTGAAACAATCAGGGTCAGCTTTGACTCCCTTGTCCATCAATTCTATAGCCTCCTTAACCTTACCTTCTAGACAAAAACGAGTCAACTCAACAAGCGAAGGAACTGCCGAGGGCACACCAGCAATTGGGGCATGATTCTCCACTACGGGCACTTGATTTTGCATACTTCCGTTCAAATGACTAGTGTTCTGACCCTGTGAAGTCCACTGGTTAGGGTGTCTAGCTTGTGGATACCACTGATTTTGGTTATTCCACTGATTTGGGCTTATGGGTATCTCTGTATTCATCTGACTAAGGTTTTGGGACGTGGGATAGCCCTGATTCTGCTGGGGATTCCATTGATTAGGGCTTGGGGAATGGGGATAACCCTGATTCTGCGGGGAATTCCATTGAGTATTCGTCTGATTACCATTTTGGAACTGCGGATAACTCGAACCCTGATTGGGATTCCACTGAGAAGAATTTCGCGATGGACTGGGGTATCCCCTGTTCTGAAATTGAGAATTAAACTGATTAAACCGGTGTTGAGGAGCCAAGTTCTGATTCTGGATCTGTGAGTTCCACTGGTTCGCATTGTTGAATCTTTCGTTCTGCAGTGAAGATGGTGATGGATGTGGTGTCTGGTACTCATTTGGGTTGGCAGAGGTGCTCAGGGCTTTGGCAATCAGGGTTCGGAAGAAAAAATCAGGGGAGTGAGGGCGTACCTTGAATAAGGTAGATGAAAAAGTCGGAAGCAAGTGCCAAGCGCGGCGTGCCACCATGAGAGACGCCATTTTTGCTCCTTTCAGGCGAAAACATGGAAAGCCCCAGTTAAATCCTAGACGGAATGACATATGAGTATCTAAGTCGTTACAGGTAACAGGCCTGTCAAGGTCGGTCAGGCCAGTTTGGCCCAATATCTACCTGCTTTCTAAGTTTCTTACTCCATCCCTTATTAGATGGTAGATTTTAACTCTTTATCTTATATTATAATATTTTTAACATTTTACATATTAGAATTAAAAAAAATAATCCTCACTTTATAACATTTCATTAATTCTGTTAATTATTTGGTAACTTTGTTAATTGATTGTTAATTTTGTTAACTGAAAGTAGATTTTTACCTATTAACAATCAATTAATAATCAACTAATAAAGTTACTAGTTAGATAACAGAATAATTCTATTAACTGACTGTTACCTCTATTAGTTAAAAGTAAATTTTTGTAGTTAACAGTCAGTTAATAGAACTGTTTCTCCAAAAATCCTTTAGTGGTCTCATACGTGTGAAATTTGAATGCAAATGTGCCACTTATTTTGTTGAAAGTAAGAAAAGAGGATTTTCTTAATGACCCTCTCCTTCCTCACTGTCGGCCTCCTTGTGGATGGCAGGAAGAACGTTGGTTTAAAATTAAAATCTGCGCCTATAGATGATTTGCAAGAGAGAGGGATGCCTTACTATAGAATGGGTTATAAAATCTACTTTGGATAACTCTAATGACTTAAACACTACTGTGAATTAAAGTTAACAAATTCTAATTAAATTAAATAGCATGCAATTTAAAATAAATCTAAGAGAATAAGATGTACTTAAATTAAATTAAACATATTCATTGTCAAATTAAAATACTATCTATTGACAAATATGAAAATTAAACTACTATAAAATTTGAGATTTTACCTTAATTAAAACTATTACAAACTTAAACAAAAATTAACATGCTTAAAATTGAGAAAAAACGTAAAAAAACCCCAATTAAATCCTAGACGGAATGACATATGAGTATGTAAGTCGTTACAAGTAACAGGCCTGTCAAAGTCGGTCCAGCCAGTTTGGCCCAATATCTACCTGCTTTCTGAGTTTCTAACTCCATCCCCTTTCCGGCAAAAATCTATTTATATATATTTTTTTACTTTACAAAGGTAAGTTTTAACTTTTTCATTTTATACTATAATATTTTTAATTTTTTACCTATTAAATAAATTAATAATTAACTAATAAAATTAATAATTAAATAACAAAATAATTTTATTAACTTATTATTATCTTTATTAACTAAAAATAAGTTTTTATCAATTAATAATTAATTAAAAAATTAACAATTAACAAATAAAACTAACAAAATATTATAAGTAAAAGTTATTTTTTTTAACTTTAATAAATAAAAGATTAAAAGTATCATAGTATATAATAAAAATAAAAGATTAAAATTTACAAATCTAGTAAAATAATGAGTTAAAAATAGATTTTTATCTACAATTTAGATACTGAAAAAAAAAAAAAGAAAGAAAAAAGAACAGTATGAAAAGTGAATAGAACTCTTTTGTGTTCGGTTGACAAACATTTTTGATTAAGTTCCTGTAACAATCATGTGTTTAGCAGTGCGAATGCTAGACTGCAACTATCACATCAAGAGCCAAGGCCGAGAGCGTCCGTTTTCCCGAATGATTCATAATTTCATATTCCGTAGTCTGAATAATTTTTTTTTTTTTTTTAATAACAATACATGCAGTCACTTTTTATTTATTTATTTAAATTTTTTTTAATCTGTGCAGATTAAAGGCATCTTTTTATAATGGAAAAACCCATTTATTTATTATGGATACGTTCGACATACCTGGGGTAACTTGGTGGGGTTCTCAAGCTGTAAGTAGACAGATTAACGCATTAACTGTGTACAGGCTCCAAGGTCTGGTTTGGGTTCTCAAGCTGTAAGTAGAGAGATTAACGCATTACCTGTGTAGAGGCTCAAAGGTCTGGGTTGATTGGGTTATACATGTTATGATGAAACAATGGCCTTGCCCCATCTTAAAAGCTGAATTTTTCTTGAATATCTCAAATAAGGTTGAAGATTTCTCTGTTTCTTCTTCCCTTCATTTTTATTAAAGCTTCAACCTTTTAAGAAAGTGGAAACCAAAAAAAAGAAAAAAATACAATTGTAAGTTCTAAACTTGAAGTTCTTATATCTTCATCAATGTTCGAAGTTCAAATCAATTGAAGGTTATCCATAACCTGAAGATAGGGGGAAGGAAAAATGAAAAACAAAAGAAGAATCAAATTTCTGACATGCTAACTGGCGCTTTTGGCAGCCATCATCTACTAATGTCAAGAATGCATAATGGAAGCAAAATCTATGCTTATCAACCAGAGCATATATGATGGCCAAAAAAAAAAAATCAGAACATGTAAATGAAGTAAAATTGGAAACACAAGATATCAATTTCTCTTGCTGTCTCACATGCATCACTTGAGGAGGGACCTTGCTAAGTGTTCGCGAGCAGTGGCCAATGCTTGACTTATTGTCTGCAAAACACAAAAAATATTAATATGCTGGCCATAATTATCTATATTTTACCACAAATACTGGAAGAAGAAAAAGGTTAGCTTGATTTTCTTTTTCCTCGTTCCTTGAGAGAGAGAGGGAAGAGTGGTTTTTTTTTTTTTTTTTAAGAATAAGTTAAATTACCTGTTCTGATAAAGGAGCCCCAGCATCAATACTATTACTGGCAACCTTTCCAGCAATAACATTTGCATCAGTTTCAAGAATGATGCTGCATAAGGAAAAGTGTTAGAAAGGATAGTAACATAAATAAATTCAGGAGCTGAATCTGGGAGGAAAGACAGAGAGAGTGAGAGAGGTCCTAAGAATTACCGTGCCTGTATATCCTATCCTTCCATTCTAATCCCCCCCAACCAAAAACTCTCAACAAAGTGCAACAGCGGGAGTTTATGATATCCAATTCATATTTTTTATGCCTGCCCTTGTTTTCTGATCAGAAGCAATGCATAATGTAAATGTCCTATGCAAACTTTTTTGGCTTGCCTCATCACATCAAGTAACATACCATCTGTTACAAAAGACTATCTCTTCTTACTAACAATGCTTGACAGGGAAAACCAGAATCAAATTCGGAGGCTGTAACTTCAGTTAAGATGGAGGAAAGGAGATATTCCAGAAAAGAAATGTCTATATTCAAAATTTTATGAATCCCATACTTATCTCCAAACAGATAACATGCTCCTTAAACTTCTAAGCATAACTGAGAGTTAGGACATGATAAATCAGTTAACCATTTGTACATCCAGAACTCATTTGAGAACTAAATAAATTCTGTTTAATGATCAAGAAGCAAAAAAGAATAACCAAAATGATCACCAAGAGATTCATGAAATTAGATTAAATAAATTAAGAGTGACAGCAACATTAGTTTAACAAAAATAAAAAGCACAATAAATCATGGTCCATACCCGCCATCAACAATTTCATCAAGGCATAACAAAATAAGATCCAAGTTCTCCAGTGCCTCTCTCTTGTCCACACTGCCTCTGGAACAAGGAATAGACAAAGAAAATAAAAGAAAATAAAAAAAAGGTTAAAAATTCATATAAATGATATCATTTAAATTCATCTAGAGTAATGGTAAATGGTGATAAGTATTATTCCAAAAACCTGAGGAGCTGGCCAACTGCATCAAAAAATCCTTGAAGAACTGTGGCCAAAATGAGTTCATTTTCATTGTCACCCCCCGTAACAAAAAAGTGAAGGTCTTGAACAAACTTATAAACAACAATGTAGTTCTCAAACATTGTTATTTCCGCTGCAAATGAAGAAATGGCAACGTGTTAAAATGGCTAAGAGTATGAGTGAAATCCATTATGTTCTTGTGTTGTCTCATGTGAAAGCAAGAAAAGGAGCAGAAAATTGTTCTAAACAAATTGCTGTTTAAATACAACTTTCTAATGCTAAAACTCCAGAGACTAGTTTCCAAATCTGGCAATCAACTCAATAAGATTCACCTTCCAATATATGTCTTGCATTAACATAAAAAGGTAGAATGCATGATTCTAGATTGATACTGAAAGGAAAAGACAATAGAAATACATGTGCTAAGTTAATAGCACAAAGATGCAAGTAGAAAGGTCCTAATGCCAAAGCATCCGTGCATGACATGCTGAAAATAAAGGCCTTTGAAAGACAAGCAAAATGCAAATATTTTACCTTCAGTACGAGCATTTGTCTTCTGGGTCTTGGTAAATACTGCTTTCTCAAAGGCTTCCTTTGCACTATTTGTTGGCCAGTCATCTGAATAATACTTGACAGCCACACGTTTCCCTTCTGAATCCAAAAGGAGAATGTTCTTTACGGCAGGGCAAGACTCCTACAAACACCATTCAACAACCCAAATCACGATCTCTAGTTTTATACCAGTTCTAGTAATAGTTTTTTGTATAATTAGAATACTACCAATTACCAAAGCTTGTCTAAGTCATTTGGGACATTGACTTAGGCATATTTTCGCACATGAACATGAAATTCAAGATCCCCAACAGTTAATACCAACCATGCCAATTGGATCTAACAGTACACAAAGTGGATTAATATTCTAAGCTACATAACAACACGATCAACCATAAACCAAAGAAGCAAAGCAAGCAAAAAAAAAAACAGAATCAACATGAGTTCCAAAATGCAAATTCAAACTACATTCACGAACCCATTTTCAGTTCCAATTGAATTAGGCATAAAAACCTCCAATTTCTCTGAAAGCAAAAAACTTGGATCTGGGTCTAAACATCAGAAAGAGCAAAACACAAAGCAAATTGAATTCAATAAAAGGGTAAGCAAGTAAAGATCTGCAGTAGAAACAACAGAAACTAAGCATTCCCAGACTAAATAACCAGAAAGCAAATCAGATTAAACGAAACCATGGATTGTGTTCCTAGAGAGAAAAGATGGTGAAAGAGAGCTGACCATGTTATTGAATCGCCAAAATTTTCTCAGCGAATTTCTGCTCCGTGTCCGAGAGAGGTCTTTTGTGGAGTGTTGTGAACTTCTGATCGTCTAATTGAGACGAATCGGCACTGCGGGGGCCGAAATGTAAATCTCCCCCAAACCAAAATCAAATTATTTGCACAACTTCACAACTATTTTGTCCATTTTTACATTTTACCCCCATTATTACTCACGCCGTCACTCGCTCTGCCTATATATTATCGAAAGTGTCACTTTTTGCCCCAAAGGTCTTTTTGTTATTCATTTTTGTACCAAGAAGACTTTTTCCAATAAAAAATAATTTGGACATGCATGATGGAAGCGTTGGTGAGTTGCTATGTTTTCCAGGATCCAAAGTAGAAGTCCATTGTTAAAGGGGAGGGAAAAAAACAATAATTTATTGTACAATTTAAACTATATTCAACTGCAAAACCACAAATTCAAAAAAGAAAATAGGAATGCTTTTCAAATTGCAAAGATTACATGCAAGAACACCCGCAATTTAATGAGTTTTCTCATCATAGATTTGCTAGTTTGCAAGTTTATTTTGAAGGATCAAAATAATACAACAGTTATTCTAGAAAAGAATAAGAATCATCTGTGTCCACCTTGAGCTACTTCTCAGAAACCTTCCTGAATCATGATTTTACATCGTTCTCTATCCCATTGAATATTTTGAAATCTACATTCTTTACAACATATATAAGCTGCTAAATCTGATTTGGTATTGTGGGAATAAATTTGCTGCATTGCTATTATCCAAGAATAAGGCTCCGGCTTTACAAGTGCAGGACCTTCATCATTGGACAGTCATATGTTTCCCACATCTAATCAGATACCTGATAGGAATACCTGGAAAAGAAGAGATACAGCAGTTACAATCTGATCTGAAGGCGAAGCTGTATGAATAAAGCGGCAAAAAAGAATTTGGCTTTTTACAGGACGTAACATGCAAACATGCATCATATACTGCATTTGTTTGAACCATTGTTTACGAAAAGTGGACCAGAAGATCCTCATCCAATCAAGTATTCAATTACAGTAGCAAGAAGTAAAATGATATGAATGTTTGTAAAATGAACATTAAACCAGGAGTACAAATTTTTGGATGACTACTAGTACTAAATACCAAATTTTCAAACAGCTTCTAGTTCGATTTTATAAGTAGATCGAAACTGCAATGAACCAAGAAAATGCAAATTGGCATGCACATGTGCTTACTTTATTCTGGTAATCAAACACAACAGAAAAAAAAGCTGGCTTCAAAGTGAAGAAATGGAAACATCATCTCCCAACTCCCTGTTGGATTATACTAAACCACTTACGGGACAAATAAGACCATTGAATTTGAAAAAGGAAACTAAAAAAAATTCATAATTCCATTATTACATTAGTCAGGCCTCTAATCACATTTTATCGAGACATAAAAAAATGCAACAACGTTACATGAAGCTTAATGAAAATAAAATTGAGAGGCTCAGTAATACTAATTTGAACCGTCAAGAGGAAATGTGTCATGAACATCCTAAGACAAACCCAGGACTCCAAGACATTAACATGTAAAGACCAAGTAAACAATGTGGAAACATTTAGATCTACACTGCAAACCTCACACCAAAATATTGGACTTCGATTGCAAAAGACTTCTCCAAAAACTCTACCACATACATCTCTTTGGAACAAAATCTAGATCAAATAAGAAGAAATTGGTGAAAACTTGAAAGATTAAATACAAGTTTTGCCAACAAAAATAAGTTTGCTGGGCATTAATATTTTCCAGCTGAAGCAAGGTATTTAATAGTTACCATGAATCTCTCATTCAGCCTCACAATGCTTGAAGAATTACTTGAACAATGCAAAATCTAATTACAGAAACATTATAAATCTACATTCTAGAGATCACCATGTTAAAGAAATCAAGCTAATTACCTCAAAAAGGAGTGATTTTCCTCCTCATTTTGATGCCGGCTTTTGAAGCAGAGCAGTCAAATAAACCTCCTCATGCTTCAATCCACTGGAATCTGTCTTATTTGCAACTGACCACTTCACTTTCTTGTATCCCAACTTTCCAATCATCGGCCCAAATACTTTCTCCAGATCCTCCCTTCTGCTAAAGAACCTATCCAGCCATAAGTAGCCACCTCCTCTCAACACCCTATCCACATCATAGAGCATGAATTCCATCACCACCAATGGAATCCACCTGTTCACTGCCCGCCCACACCGCACCAGATCCACCACCCCATCGAACACCGGCAACCTCTGCTGCAACGGCACGTGCAATGGCACCAACCCTCTCAAAGCCACCGCCTCGTTGTACGGTGCATTAATGTTCATTGTTGTGGTCAGCACCGTTACATTGTAAAGCTCTTTCATTACCGCTGCGAATGTTCCAGTCCCGCCGCCGATGTCAATGCCAATCCTGATCACTGAATTTGCCAACTTAGCTATTTGCATGAACTGGGGAATGGGAAGATCAAGTTCAGAAGAGAAAGTCACGAGCGATTCCCGTTGTTTCTTGAGATCAAATCCAATATTGGGTTGTTTCTCTGAAAGACAGGTAAAAGATTTACAGGCGTATTTGCTCCAGATAACACTGGAATCAGGGAGAAAAATCGGAAACGGGTGGAGAGGGAGGGACGGAGGAGGTTTAGAAGGGGTTTTGGAGAAGCACCGTCGGCGAGGAAGTGGGTGGCAACCATTCAGTATCAGGGTCTCCTGAAGATCAGAATCATGGGGGCAGATTGAGAAAGGAGTGTAGCTCATGTACTTGTGTAGGAGGTCAACATGGTTATGGCAAGAGGAAGCAATGGAGGAGAGGCGGGAATAGAGAAGGAGATCTCGCGGAACAGCAGCACTGGAGGGTTTTCCCCCATTGGTGCTGGCAGCATCGGAAGAAGGATAGTGGCGCGTGAGGTGGTTAATAGTCGCGCGTATGGTGTGGAGCTGGAGGAGGCGGTGGTCGGGGATGGGACTGTGAGTTAAGCTAGTGGGTTTGGGGAATTGGAGATTGGAGGAGAGATGGTAAAGGGAGAAGATGTTGGTGGTCACCATAGCCATGAGAAGGAAGAGGTTCAAGCTCATCGTGAAAACCATCACCTCGATTCCGGTCTTCTTCTCCGGTGTGTTTCTTCCTTTATTTAGCCTTGAGTTGGCTATACATAAAATTTAGAACTTGGATATTGATTCTCAATGGATCATAGAAGAATGCTCCTTTCGGGTTAAGATTTGATCTGGTGATTATGGACCGTCCGATTAGAGTTCTGTGGGGTGAAGGGAATCCGAGAAATGGTGTGAAGTTTCACTGTGTGCCTGTGCTTAATTTATAAGGTAATACTTATTTTTGGTCCTTAAGGCAACAGCTGCCCTTGAATCCTTTTGACCAAAAGGGCTCTGTATAATCCACCCATTTTAAAAGATGCAATTAATAATTTGTTGTCATAATGCTAGTTAAGCTAGTAGCTAATTCTGGAAATGAGATTACTATTAGTAATCAAGGGTGCAATATTAAAATTTTGAATTAAAATAAATTTGTGTTATTTATCAACTAACATGTTATAGACAATTAGACATACTAGAATTTGCTTAATCTTATTCATTAAGGAACTAGAACTATTAAAATCAACATAGCATTTGTTTTGCTAGCTTTCATGTCGAATAAAGAATCTAATTAAGCAATGCAATAGAGAGAAATATGAATTTTCAAATTTAGATATAATTTCATATTAGATCTGAGTAAAATTTAAACTGTTTCAGTCAATAAATTGAAATAATTACTTAAGTTATTAAAATAAACTCTCTTCATAAAAGTGAGTAATAATATAATTTAGAATATCATCACTCAATGCTATAGGGATTAGCTGTGGTTACTTTCATAGGTGCTTTAACACATGAGGTTGGGCTTCCACCAAATTTGTAAAAACTAAAAGCCTCCAAGATCCACAAATCAAGTCCTAACTCCAAACATAACCAAAGCTATGGAGAGACATGATTTCATCTTAGATAAAAAAAGGTGATTAAGATTATCAGTTATGTGATTTAATGATAAAGTTATTTGTATTCTTAATCACAAATATATACTTCAATCATTAGTATCTATGTATAAAAAGAAAAAAAGAAAAAAAATGCTCAATTATTAGTTAAAAAGAAGTTTGAGGATGGAATTTAGAAATAGACCTAAGTTCAGGGGCTTAATTAGCTAAAAATGAAGTCCTGGACTGGGTCGCGGTCGAAGAGATCGCGTCCTGCAGACGGTAATTTTGCCGGACGTCACTCAGCTCTCCTCACCCCTCTCCTTCTTCACAGAAAGAAAGCATCGATTTTGCTCTTCGGAGAAACAGATTGCACACACTCTTCCATCAATGGTACGCTCGTGATGTTCTCTTTCTTTAATTTTCACGCCCTTTCCCTTTTCTCTGAATCGCTTTTTCTCAGCAACCAAACATTCCTTAGGGTTTGCTCGTGAGAATTTTAATGTTTGTTTCTTCTTCTTCTTCTTCTTCTTCTTCTTTGTATATATATGGCATTTATTGATATATAAAGTGTAATTTTCTGCTCATGATGTTATTCTGGAGTTGTTAGTTTAATTATTTTTTTGTAGGCTGATCCTGAACTGGAAGCAATTAGAAAAAGAAGGATGCAAGAGCTAATGGTTCAACATGGCATGGTAATTATTGCATTATTGGGTTTATGAATTCATTCACTTCATTAAAGGATTAGGATTAGCTTGATTCTAATTTAGATGATCGTGTAAACAGGGAAGTCAGCAAAACTCTGAGCAACAAAATGCTCAGGAAGAGGCTAAGAGGTTGGTTTATTAAATGTATTTGTTGGTGTATACTGTTTTAAGTTTGTTTTTCCATGTGGAGTTGGGTATTCAGTTTTGATTCTAAATGATTACTTCAGGGAGGCTGAAGAACGGAGGCAAATGATGCTCAGTCAGGTTGTGTCATCTGAAGCAAGAGAAAGACGTAGGTTAAAGTTTCCACTTTAACTTAGGATTTTGTATTTATAATCATCTTATGTTAAAAAGATGATTTTATATTATTATCTATGTCATATTTGTTAATAACTGCATTCTCCTCAAAATATATATGTCAGCAACCTTTGTTTTTGTATTTATTGTCCTAGATGTATTGTTGTAGCATGATAGCGTCATGGATTGATATAATTCAAGTTTTTGACTTCTAAGGAAACCTAAAAAAATGTATAATTGTGATCAAGTGGTGTTTGACAGGGATGTTAGTGTTATTATTTTGTCAAGGTTGGGATTGTAAATTTTTTTTTTTTTTGAACTGCAGGTTGGGTTTGTAAATAAGATGCATGATGAATGAGTAGTGTAAACAAGGGTTATTCTATTGTTTTGTTGCACTAATTTTTGGTGTCTTTTATATCTGCTTCTACATCATATCAGTTGCTCGAATTGCCTTGGTCAAACCTGAAAAAGCGAGGGGTGTTGAGGATGTCATACTTAGAGCTGCTCAAATGGGTCAGGCAGTTGAAAAGGTAGGGGAATCTTGTTCTGTTTTGTTGTGCTTTGAAGCATCTCAGACTTTGTGGGTTCTAATGCTGCATCCATAATCTGTGGCTGGCCTGATAAAGAACTTTGAAGTTATAATTATTTGTAGGTTTCTGAAGAAAGGCTCATATCACTACTTGAACAGATAAACACCCAAACAACCAAGCAGACCAAAGTTACAGTAAGTCCTATTGCTATTTCCATGTTCTTCTTGCTTGCAAGCGGTTTGATATTTTAATTCTCTTACGCATTTGGCCCTAATTAATCTTACAGATCCAGCGGCGTCGAAGTGTTCTTGAGGACGACGATTAGATCAGATATGAAACCCGTGCTTTGCAATCCAATATTTGATATACTACTCTTCTTTATTGGTCGTATGTCTCTGGTTTGGACTTACTCTGTTGGTTGTGACTTGTGATAATCTCAACTGCATTTCCCTTGACTCCTTTTGCTTCTGTGCTTATTAATCTTATTCCCCCTAGTCCATGGTCATACATGTCAATTGTTGTACAGTAATGAATAAGAATAGTGAGGGTGACAAATTTAATTAAACATGTAAAACTTGAAGTAGAAAGTGGGTTAGTGGGGTTTTCTTTTGGAGTTTAAGGAGCCTGATTTCGAATTTTTTACACGAACTCTTGTCCCAGTTCATTAGAGCTGTGTACAAGTTGAACAAAATCAAGATTTTTATGTGAAGGTTTATTTGAAGGGCAGGAACCTGTACTTTTCACACCATCTCCTTTATGGTTTCGAGTTTTCTTTATGTGAAGGTCATGAACGTGTACTTTTGAGGACCACTTGATTACAATGATTTAAGCTATTAGGTCATTGTTATAGGACCACTTGATTCACATTAAAGTTATGGATCCATTTGTTTGTTGCTTTTATGTTTGATTTGAAAAAGTTTTATGCTCCAACTGTTGGCCTGTGGTTTATACCATATCATTAATGGTAAATGTTATAAGGGGGAGTGATTTGAACCCATCTCTCAGTAATGGAGGAAATGCACTAACCAATGGTGTTACAACCAATGAAATTGTAGTATTGCACTAGTAAGAATTTGATTGAGTTTGTATCTATTAATTAAAAAACAATGATTTAAGGTCAAGGTCAGGATTCAAACCTTTATTATATCAAGAGCTAACTCCCCATTGTAAAAAAATAAAAAATAAAAAAAAATAAAAGAAGAAAGAAAAAAAAAAAGAACCAATGAAACTGTAAGTTTAGGTGCATTGCATTGACATTAACATTTATGGTTTAAATTAAACATTCATGATTCTTCCATGCTAATAAAAAAAAAGGATTTCTCAGAATTTGGGAACTGAACTTGGGGTCATCAAAAAGAAAATGAACTGGCCTTTGGACTTTAGAGGACAGTCCAAAATTGCGTACTGAAAATTGGGTAGGGTTATGACCATACAAAAGTATTGTAGGTGTATTTAGTTTGATTGTTTATAGTTATTAACTAGTAGTTTATAGAACAGATGAAAGTTAGTCTATCTTC